TAAAAAAAAAAAAAGTCCCCACAGATCAGAGAAAGAAGGTGCCCCTTGTTTCCCACAGCGCCAGTCTCCCCCCAGTGCTCCCTGGGAGGTGGAGACAACAGCCACTCTGAGGTGTGGGCACTGGGGAGTGAGGCCCCGACCCAGACCCTTCCCTAGGACTGAGGACAGGAAGAGGGGCTGTGGACTGCTGGGGCCCCAGGAGGATAAAGGATGGGAGTTAGCGTGGGGTACTTGCCCCAAGTTTAAAAAAATAAAATTTCTAAAGAAATTAAAAAAAAAAAAAGCATTAGTGTCTTGGCCTGCTGCCCTCCGCCTAGTGCCCACCCTGGCCCTGCGGCCACCTCTCGCTCAGCCAGTTCAGAGCTGCGTGTTCTCCTCCTGGCTCTCGGAGTCTGCACTGGACAGGTGCCCACCGCTCCCAGGCGCGTGACCGTTGCTGGCACAGACCACGAGGGCCCTGTCCCCAAGCCCCTCTGGCGTCTCGCCCAGCAGGCTCCGGCGGATCTCCTGCCCCCCCGGCCACTCCTGACACTCCTGGGCCAGCTGGGCCAGCAGCTGCAAGAGGAGCATGGTCACCGGGAGGCCAGGCCACCCTGCCCCTGCCCACCTCACCATGGCCTCACCTTGGGCTCTTCTTCCGCCAGCTGCTGGAGGACCTGCTGCTGCCCAGACGCGAGGCGATCATGCCGCTGCCTCTGGGCCTCCTCCAGCTGTGAAGTGGACAGGGACTCAGCCGAGGGACCTTGGTGGGGGGGGACCCTGGGGCTCTAGCTGGGCACTGCTGCAGACAGCTGGCTTTGGACATGGTGGGTATCAGGGGCTGTCGGGCCCAGGGGAAAGGCTTCAGATGCCCCTGGGGGCAACCTGGCACCAGGCTAAGCACCAGGCTGGGCTGTGATGAAGGAAGGAAAGGGGTGGGGTGAGGGTGGGCTGGGCGCCTCACTCACCCGACGGATGGAGTTGACCGACTCGGTGATGTGCCGACGGTTAATCTCTGTCAGTTCCCTGCGCAGGAGAAAGGCAGGTTGGGCTCAGCGTCCAGGTACTCCGCCCTGCTGCCGCGCACCCAAGAGGCTCTGTGCCCTGACACCCTTACGCCTCCTTCTTGTGTTTCTCCCTCGTCTTGGCCTCTGAGATACTGTTGTGGCGTTTCCTGTCCAGGATCTTCTGCAGCTCTTTCTTTTCCCTAGAGAAGCCGGGAGGAGAGAGGAGGGGTCAACAGCAGGGCCAGGGCTCCACCCTGCCTCTGGTACCTCACTGCCAGGACCCTCTGCCTCACCTCTCGTTCATCTCCTTCAGCCTCTTGAACTGAGCCACATGAGCATCCAGGACGACCTCCCTGAGCCGCTGCTGGGCCTGTGGACACAGGACGCCTGTGGGTAACAGGGCTGCCCACAGGTCTGCTAGGGGTAGGTCTGCTAGGGGTAGGTCTGCTCTGGCTGCTGTAGGACCCTCACCTGTCTCAGGTGCTCCCGCCTCCGCTCGGCCTCTGCATCTGCCTGGGCCTCCCTCAACTCCAGCAGACTCTGCACCTGTCTGTTCTGGAACTCCTGATACCGCTTCACTTCTTCCTCCTCCTCCTTTGTGTCCTCCATATCAGCAGCCCCGCCTCTGTGGGGAGAACCCTTCTGGGGGATGCTCGGGTCCATCACAGGGAATTAGGCAAGGCAGGGGAGGGCAGGGCACATCCCAGCTGGCAACGGCAGACACCACCCTGGGGGCGAGGTCTGTTAGGCAAACCAAGAGGTCCATTAGCTCCAACCAAATGATGGGAGCCTGTTTTGGTAATGTGCTCTTCAAGGGGGACCTCAAAAAAGGTGTCAACCCCTGGGGGGAAGAGGGTGGGAGTGTGGAAGCCTCTCCTTTCTTCTTTGCACCTAACCCTCTTCTCTGGGGGGCCAGGGGCAGCCCCCGGCCATCTCGCCTAGCACAGAGACCCACACACGCCAAGGCGCACAGCACGCGTAGCTGCAGGCAGGCTGGACACTCACTGGACTCCTGGCCGGGGCCGGCCCCTGCTCTCGGCCCGGGCCTGGGCCAGGTTGTCAAGCAGACGGCGAGTGAGGGCCACCGCCTTCCGCTGGTGCTTCTTGTGCAGCTCCCGTAGCTCCCGCTCCTGCCGGCTGCGGAGCTTCACTAGCGCCTTGTGCCCTCGCAGCTCGTCCAATGGAGCTGGGGCCACCTCTGTGAGCAGCAAAGCACAAGCCTGGGTGGCAGGTGGGCCAGGCAGGCAGGCCACCCTGCCAGAGCACCCCCCCCAAACAGGCCCCAGCCCTACCTGAGAGGAGGCTAGCAATGAGATCCTCCCGCTGCCCTGGAGAGCAGAAGGGGCTTATGAGGAGCTGGATGGGGGCAGGGCTCAGCCCACCCCTAAACCAGCGAATTCTTACCTGGGCTGCTGACAGAGGTGTTGGTGGGAGAGGCAGCAGGGCCTGGGGGCCGGCGGGAGGAGGTGTCCAGTGGGCTAGGGGTGGGGTTTGGGGATAACTGGGACCCCAGCTGCTGAGACTGGGTCTCCTGGCATGTCTCTGGGCCAGCCTGGGCCTGCGGGGGAGAAAGCAGAATGCTCTTTCCAGAAATGCTGTTCTCTGTAGGCTTCTCTCCCTCACAATCTTCTGGGGCTTCCCAGTGCCCCTGGACAGCTTCCCTCTGCCTGCTTAGCTGCTAAACTCCTCTTTGGCAACACTGACTATTTGGACATCTGCAGGAGAAATAAGGTCATAAAAAAATGTTTGGGCCAACCAGGTTGTGTGGTGGTTAAGGCAGATGGATCCTACATGGCCAAATGCATGGTTCAAGGCCTGGACCCAGTGGCTTGAAAAACATGCTGGGATGGGACAGCAGATGGTATAATGGTTACACTGGACGCTCACATGGCCAACTGTGATTCGAGTCCTGGAACAGCCAGCTGTGATTCGAGTCCCGGACTCCATAGTTGAAACTCATGCTAGGCGCAGGTGTGTACATGTCCACAATCCTGAGGGGAGACTGGAGGAGAAGGGATTGTGGCATGGCCATCCCCCCTGGGGGGTGGTTTTTTACTTTCTGTCTCTTTGTCTCTCCAGTAAGCACAACACACACCCAATAGCAAAAACCTCTCTTTTTTTTTGAGAAGTTTTTTCTATAGGGTCTGTGCGCTCGCCAGAAAGATAGACAGAGAGAGATAGAAAGCGAGAAATCACCCCCCAGGGGGGATGGCCATGCCGCAATCCCTTCTCCATTCTCCTCTCGGGATCTTGGGCACGCACGTACACGCGCCTGGTGTGAGTTTAAGCCACCGGGTCCGGGACTCGAACTGCGGTCGACTACATGGGAGTCCAGTGACATAGCCATTATGCCAACTGCTGGTCCCGCAAAAACCTCTCTAAAAAATAAAAAAAGAAAACTTTTTTAAAAAAGAAAAGGAAGAAAGAAAAACATGCTGGGCATGTGTGCATACATGTTCAAAACTCTGAGAAGAAGAGATTATGGCATGGCAATTCCCCATGGGGAATGCTTTCTTTCTTTCTCTCTCTGTCTCTCTCTCTCTGGCGAGTGCATACACTATAGCAAAGAAAAAGGAAAACAAAACAAAACAAGAAAACTTAGAAAAAAACAAGCATTTGAGACCAGCTGGTGGTGTGCTGGTTAAGGCAGCTGGATCCCACATGCCCAACTACGGTGAGTCTCAGGCCCGGCCCCCCCAAGAAACACCCCCGGTACGCTGTGCGCATGCCCCAAATCCTAACTAAAAGGAGGGAGAAATGGAGAAAGGATTGCCATGGGACCATTTCCCATGGGGAGTGCTTTCACACTCTCCCTCTTTCTCTCTCTCTGGCAAGTATGCATGTCCTCTGGCAAAAAAGAAACCCCAAACTAAATAAAACAAAAACAAGCATTTCTAGACCCCCTCCCCGCAAGGGGTGCGGGGAAGGTCAGGAGATGCCAGGCCCGTGGCACATGCTCAGGAACGCTCAGACTGCTCTGGAAGAAGCCCAGCCAGCCCTAGTCTCCTCCCGGCTCCATGTCCTCCCCCCGCCTTGTCCACAGTTGCTCATCTTCCTCGTCGCTTAGCTCCTGATTAAATCAACGAAGGAAGTAACCGCGGAGCGGGCACCAGCTCTCCCGCTAACAGTTCCAAGCTCCCTGCCTGCCGCAGGCCCCCAGGGACCGGGTCTGGATGTGTAGGTAAACCTCTGCTCCCGACCCCTCCCCGTGGAAGCACCGCCCAGCTCGTGGCTCCCAGGACCCCACATTTTAAAAGCTTCTGTGGCTTCAAACTGCCCTGATGATATGACTGGGAACCCTGTACTGCCACTGTGACCCTGCTTGAAGCTGGAGGAATCCCAGCCTGATCTAAAGGCCTCTTGAATACAAAGGGTTGGCTCTCATCTTAAAACCCCCAAGGCTGCCAAGCCTACCAAGCGAGACCAGAGGCTCCTGTACCATGCAGTTACTGACAGCCCCGCTACGGAGGCAGAAATGAGGGTAAAAGAGCGAGGCCAGGCTGTTTGAGCTGAGAGGTCTTGGTAACTTGGGGCCTCTGTGTCCCCATCTCTAAACTGAGGATGTCAGTACCACTCAGATGGGTGGGAGGGTTACGTGTGCAAGGTGAAAAGCGCTCACGCCAGGCCTGCCAGAGCTGGCACACAGCATTCACTTGCCTTTATTCTCTGGTTTGGGTGAGACAGAAGGACCCAGAAAGAGGAACAGGGTGAAAAACGCATACATACAGCTGGAGTCTGCAGAAAGGCACTGAAAAGCCCGGTTTGGGGAGAGGGGCTGGATGGAGCAGTGCAGGGGGTGGAGAGCAGGGAGGGCTGTGGGGCCTGCTCCACAAGGGCCGGCCCAGAGGTCAGCCTTACCGCCCTACCCACACCCACTCTCCCCATGACCCCTGGATCCCAGAGTCCAGGCAGGCCTGAGTCCTGCCCCCCTCTAAGTCTGTCCCCCACAGCTACCCTGGCTCACCTCACTCTCCCCAATGAGGGCAGCCAGCTGCTTGGCCCTCTGGTCCATCAGGCTGACATGTTTAATAGGGTTGATTAGAGCCTCCGCATAGTCTGGGCAGGAGACAGAAGGTCAGAGTCTCAGACACAGAAACGCCCCCGGGGCCACACCCTCCCTGCCAGCTCTGGTCTCCAGGAGGGACTACAGAACCTGCCCTCAGGGCCATTTGCCACCCTGGATCAGGGCCACCAGGCTCAGTCCTGACGGCAGCCTGTCCCCCTCACTCCCCAGCCCAGCCCTACAGTGCCCACCCCCAGCTCACCCTGGTGGTCGTCAGGGATATAGTCGGAGGCCTCAGTGTAGATGAGCAGGGCTGGCAGGCACAGCGGCTGGTTGGCCTCGTTCCGCAGGCAGACGTAGTGGTACCCTGGCGGGCAGGAGGACGAGGTCAGCTGGGCCCGGCTGGGCCCCACACACAGTCCCAGTGCTGCCCAGAGCCCACCCCCACCTCACCTGAGCGGATGGCTGACACGGGCAGGATCCGGTGCCCTACGAATTTGCCGCCCTCCTCAAAGGCCGCAATGCGAAGGGAAGCCAGCGTGGGCAGCACCACCTGTGGGCCCAGGCACGCTGAGCCACGAGGCTGACCCACAGCCACCACGGCCCCCATGCCACAGCTGACCACAGCTGCCGAGTCCTAACACTGGGAGTGGGCCCTCAGACAAGGCCATCGGTCACCATGGCCACTGAGCTGCTGGCTGCTCTACACCCCTGTAGCCTGGCCCAGCGGATGACCAGGGCCACTCAGGACAAGGTCCTGTCCCTGAGACAAGAGGACAGGCAGATGGAGGCCTCAGGGCTTCCATGGGACAGGTCTGGTCATCACCAGCTTAGAAACTTCAGTGAGCTGTGAGTCTGGAACTGAGGCACCGCCCAGCCCAGGCAGGGAGCAGAGGTGCTGCACATGAGACCGTGGGCAGAAGGGAAGGGCCAATGTGAGTGGGGCTGTGCCCTTCCTGCCCTGGAGAGTGGGCAGGCTGCGTTCGCTCCTGCTGACACCCTGTCCTGACCCTGGGACACACACGCCTGGGAAGTCTTGGCAGCCCTCACTTTCCAACCCCCAATCACCTCAGTGTGCCTGGCTCCCACTGAGTGCCCGGGCAGGTGTGTGCCAGTTTGGTGCAGGGGCTGGGCTCACCTTGGGGAAGTCGAAGGGCTCCTCGTCCCACACAGGGTTGAACGAGTTCCCCTGTGAGGTCCGTGTGCGGTACTTGCGCCGTGTATCAACGGGGAGGCCAAACATGTCCACCTCCACGTAGATGCCCACCTTCCTGTCAGACAGGAACTGCCCCGAGATCACCTGGGGTGTGCCAAGGAGGGTGAGGCAGCTGCAGAGTTCCATCCCGACACACCCCCCAGGGCACCCCCAGCCCGAGCCCTCTTGGGTCTCACCTTGACTCGCAAGGCATTGGCTACAATGCCGTCCACGATGACCTCAGTGAAGGGGTCAAAGGACTTGTCTGGACGCCGCATGAACTCAGGCTTGAGCAGGTACCCGCTGCGCCCATTGTACTCAAATACGCCCGCGTTCAGCTGCATTGGCAAGTCTGGATGAAGACACGGGGAGGGCGAGGTCAGCAGGCAGGAGGGGACCTGGAGTCAGGCAGGACAATGCCAGGCAGGGGACCCAGGGATCATCAGGGGTAAGGTGGAATTCAGGGCCCAGGGTCACGGTGGGATGGAATGACCTCAGAGGTCAGGATTTAGGAAAGACCAGACCAAACCAGGCAAGGAATTTAGAGTTGGCCCAGGTCAGGAACTGAGGATTTTTTTTTTAAGAGAGATTTTTGCTATAGGGCCTGTGTACTTGCCAGAGAGAGAGACAGAAAGCAAGAAGTCACCCCCAGGGGAGATGGCTATGACGCATTCTCTTCTCCATTCTCGGGATCTTGGGCACACATGCGCAAGCACCCAGCATGAGTTTTAAGCTGTCCGATCAGGGACTTGAACCCTGGTAGTCTATGTGGGAATCTGGCAACGTAACCATTATGCCATCTGCTAGTCACAGGAACTGGGGTTCTTTTTTTTTTTTTGAGAGGTTTTCGCTATAGGGCGTGTGCGCTCACCAGACAGAGATATAGAGACAGAAAGCGAGAAATCACCCCCAGGGGGGATGGTCACGCCACAATCCCTTCTCCTCCATTCTCCTCTCGGGATCTTGGGCATGCACCCACACACGCCTGGCATGAGTTCTAAGCCACAGGGTCTGAGACGCGAACCGCGGTCGACTACGTGGGAGTCCAGCGACATAGCCATTACGCTAACTGCTGGTTCCCAGGAACTGGGGTTCTTAATCAAGATCTGAATTTAAACCAGGTCAGAGATCCATTCAGGTAAGACAAACAGGATTACAGGTCAGGGTCAGTGAAGCTGAGAGTCAAGGGTCAAGGCCAAGGTGGGCCAGGGCTCACCCAGGGTCTGGAAGTTGAGCGCCACAAGCTGGCAGCCTACGTTCCAGAAGAGCTGGGGCATGTAGTTGGAAGAGTCCACACGGGTGCCCTTGGGGTAGATGCGGCTAAGCTGCTGCTTGTTGTATCTGAGGGTGGCAGTCAGGGGCCACTCGGGACACAATGCACACCCCTCTGTTGGCATCCACCCCTGTGATTCCCAGTCGCTGGCAATTCTGCCCAGCCAGGTCCCCAAGACTGTCCAGCCCTGCCCAAACCCCAGACTAGGGTGCCGAGAGCCAAGCCCCTGTGTAGGTGGCCTAAGGGGTAGAATGTCCGAGCCACCTGTGAGTTCCCCAGCCATGGCTGCCAACCCACAGCACCCTGGGAGGATACTCCACAAACTCCATGGGGCTCTTCGTCAGCTGCTCCATGGCCTTGGTCTCCACGAAGGACGACATCTCAAAGCACTTGTTCCTCTCTGGAGGGCAGGCAGTGAGAGGGCGTCAGGCCCAGCAGCAGGGCCGGGCAGGGTGGCTCTCACCACCCCACACCCCCCACTCACTTCGAGCTGCCTCAAAGGACTTGAACTTGACGGGCTCAATATAGTTGACAAGCGTTGACATCTCCTCAGTGGCGTTGACCTCACTGCTCGCCGTGCCCTATGGCCCCAGACCCAGGGTCAGTGCTGCTCCACTCTCACCAGACCCCTACTTCCCACCACTGCAGGCACAGTGCCCAGTGTGAGGGCCCCTGCCCACACAGCCCCATCTCCTGGTCTGACAGCCTGGTCCCACCTGCCCCAACAGCCTTCCACCTGACAATGTGCCTGGACTCCTCCCCTCCCAGCTGGCCTCTTGCCTCCCTGGCTACTCCTGGTCTTCCTACCCTCAGAAGCTGGAGGCCCTCTCCCCAGCTCACATGCACATGAGCCCTAACTTTCTATCCCTAGCCATCCTATCCAATCACCACCTTGCCATCCCCTTACAGAGCCCTAAACTCAGCCTCTGTGAGGAGGAGCTCTGGCCCCTCTCAAGAATGACCTCATGAGACAGTCAGATCAACCTTTTCTTTTTCTTTCTTTCTTTCTTTTTTTTTTTTTAGAGAGATTTTCCTATAGGGTGCATGCACTTGTCGGAGAGACAGAGGATACAAAAAGACAGAAAGCAAAAAAAACACCCCCTGGGGGGATGGCCACACCGCACGCAATCCCTTTTCCTCCATTCTCCTCTCGGGATCTTGGGCACGCACACGTGCCTGGCATTCAGCCACTGGGTCTGGGACTCAAACCATGGTTGACTACATGGGAGTCCAGCAACATAACTATTACACCATCTGCTGGTCCCCAGAATGACCTTTTCCGTCACCTCCACTTCTCATAACTGTGTTCCCTGTGATGACACCCCTTTATCTCACACTGTCCTGCTGCTCCTGCTCTGTCCAGCTTTGCACGTGTGGTACCACTTCAAGTGAACCCACCAACCTGCCTGCGCAGGTCAGGCTCCTGGTCTTCCCATCCTGAACCCTAGCTCACCCCTCCCAGCCCATATCAGGAGCCTAATTTTACACTTGCCTCCGGGCCTGTGTACTCACTCACACACACACACACCCACTCACCCACTCACACACACACCCAGGAGGGCAGAGACGAGGCTGACTTGTTCACGGTCAGCACCCAGTACCTGACACACAGGACGTGCTCTGCGAAGTCCTGGGAAACAAGCTGGTCACCCCTGCCCCTGTGCCACCTTCCGCCTGGGAGCCTAACCTCATCTGTGGTGGGCTTTTTGGGGTCAGTCTGTTCCTCCTCTTCCTCGTCTTCCTCTTCTTCCTCACGGTCTGCAGGTCCAAGGGTGTCAGGGCCCCGGTTCAGGTTCTCCTCACCTAGAGACTTCCGAGGCTCTAGGCTGGGCTTCTCGAGCCCCACCTCCTCCCCATTGCTCAGGCCTGGGCAGCTGTCGGAGCTGGGGGACCCTGCAGAGGCGAGGTCACAGGGTGTCAGGACCACACACAGAGTTTGGGAAGCCTAGAGGGGCTGTGTCCACTGGGTGTGGCGGCAACTTGGATGGGAGCCAAGGGGTATTGTCAGGGCAGTGTGGCCCGACGAGAGGGCAGAGGTCAGGGTCGAATGGCATTAAACTCAGTGGTAGCTCAGGGTCACAGGTCAAAGGTGAAGGGCTGGAGTTACACAGAGCAGGGAGGCAGGCAGGGCAGCTCAGAATGAGAAGTCAGGAACAGGGGACACAGCCTGAACAGTGGACAGTGGAGGTAACGAGTGACACGGTGGAGTTACACGTCAGAGGTCAAATGCAAGAGGGACATAGTAAGAGGTCAAAGGTTAGCTAAAATTAAAACCAACTGGGTAGAGTCAGTGGGGTCAGAGGACATTCCTGAGGGTAGCACCCAAAGTGTGTGGCTGCGGCTCACTGAGGTCAGCGGTCAGGATTCGGGTTGTAAGCTGGCTGGGGGAAGGAGGCCAAGGCGGAGGGGCCGGGAGCTGCACAGAACCGCCTCTCCTCGGGGTGCAGCTCAGCGAGTGAGCACTGGGCCCAGGTCAGAGTGGGGTGACAAGTGGCTGACGGGGAGGAGTGTGCCGGGACAGGCTCAGGGCAGTAAGAGGACAGACTGGGGGTTTGGGGACGGCGTGCCAGGCCTAGGAAGGGGGTTAAGGTGCAAGGCCGGGGTCAGGAGGGGGCTGAGGCTGGGCCAGGGCCTACCGAGCTGGGGAGAGGAGGGCTGGGTGGGGGCTGAGCTCTCACTCAGGGCCGAGTTGCTCTGCTCCAACGGCCGCTTGCGCCCCGAGCTGTCGGGGATGCCCGTGCTAGGCCGGTGCCGCTTCTTGTTCTTCACCAGGATGCGTCCCATCAGGTCCTGGGGGCTGGGCAGGGCGACGCCCGGAGCCAGCTATGGGCCACAGCAGGCAGGTCAGAGCCCACTGAGGTGCCCCTGGCCCCCACACCCTGCCCAGCCTCCAGCCCATACCGGGTACTTGTCCAGTGGGTCGATGAGCAGCGCATCCCCAAAGATGGAGCGGCAGTACTCAGCCATCTTGGCCTGCTGCTTCGCCCTGCAGGGAGAGGTCAGAGATCGCTGGGGACTTGAGGACTACAGGGCAGACCAGAGGCCCGCAGGGCCCATGCAAGTTCCCAGGGTTGGAGGTCACCGGAGCAAGACAATGGTGCCATGGTGGGAAGCTGTCTCTGAGGCAGAGCCCCCCTGCAAGTGTTTCCCAGGACAGGCACTTCGGATCGGAGGGCCTAGCGTGGGGTCCCCAGGTCAGGGCCCACTCACGAGTCCACATGGTTCTCAAAGGAGAGGATGACGGGATAGGGGGAGGTCTTGAAGGCGGTCTCAGCGATGGCCTCTAGCACATCACGCAGTGGCACCTCCGTGGTCATAGTGAAGCCATGGGTGATGAAAGGCTCCTCCTCGGGTGGCCGCCCCTTCCATACATCCAGCTCCACACAGCGGCACCCCCACAGCAGTGCTTGGCGGTACATCTCCACCGACGAGGTCCCAGCCAACTGCCCCGCTGGGGACAAGGCTGGGTCATCACAGCTGCCCGCCAGCCCAGCTCCACACTGAGCTGGGTCATGCTGGGGACATAGGGGCCCCTGTGGTAGCCCAGTCCGGCCCAGGCACATTCCAGCCACCCCAAGCCAGCACTCCTTAATTCACGTGGAACCAGCACCACTGCCCCCAAGGCCCCCAGAGCAGGGTCTGTGTCCTGCAGAGTGGCACAGAGCAGGCTCCTGCCAGGGCTTCCTCCTCCAGGGCTTCTCAGAAAAACACCTACCACGCCTCACTCCAGTCTGAATGGTGGGACACATCCTGACACCCCCCACAGCTCCCAGAGATCTTAACAATCCCTCCTTCTCTCCACTCCCTCCACCAGCCTCTGCCTTGAAACAGCCTCTCTCTCGACCACCTCCCACCTGGGGGACAGCAGGCCCTCCCAGCCCCATATCCAATCTCTCCACAGTGCCTGACATCATCCTTCCAAAAGCATACCAGGTCACATCAACCTCCCCTGCCTCGCCGCTTCCAAAAAGCCTCTCCCTCCCACTCGAGAGAAGTCCACAGGCCCTCCATGACCCAGGGCCTAGTCTGCCTCTCTCTCCAGCCCCTCTCACCATGCACCTGCCCCCCACCCACTCCTCACCCTTCAAAGCACCATGGGATCCCCTACTCCAGGCCTTCACACAGGTGGTTCCAGGCCACGGCCCTTCCCCAGGGAAGCCTTCCTGAACACCTAGGAGGCAGACCATGCAGGAAGCCCCGCTCCCCAGGCAGGCTGGCTGTTCCTGCCTCCATCCCTGGCACTGGCTGAGAAATGAGCCCGTGCTGAAAGAACTGAGGCCAAGACGCAGGAGAAAGAGCGGGCAGAGGGCAGAGGGTGGAGGGCGGAGGGCAGCGGTCCCAGCCCGCGCTCCCTGCTGCTCACCCGTGAGATAGGTGTTGTGTGAGGAGTTGATGAAGTAGGCACTCAGCGGCTGGCTCATGTCTGCACTCAGGTCCAGGGCTTCCAGGGGCAGGATGCCGTTCTCCTCACCTCCCAGGTAGCGGCTGAAGCCCTCCATGGACATCTGGTCTGAGGTGGGGGTGGGCGGGGTCAGCTGGGGCCCCTCATGCTGACCCCCACCCACACCTCGGTGGCTCACCTCGCTCCAGGAACTGCTGGTTGGGCTCATACTTCTCGATGAGCAGCCGGGCCTGGGAGGGCCGCAGCGGCGGGTACAGCACTTCATTGAGTCTTGGGTCCCGTTGCTTCTGGTTGATGAAGTCCATGAGCTGTTCCAGCGTCAGGTACGGCTTGCCCTTGGCGCCTCTGGAGGGGCCAGAAGCCTGGTTAGGCTGCAGCTTCCCAAGTCCCCCAACCCCCATGCCAAGTCTTCACCCTGGGAGGGAGACCTACAGCCTGTGCTGGCTCTAGCCCCACTGAAGGGAATCATGGGGCCTTGGTTTCCCCATTTGCTCTCTGACCAAGCGATGTGTTGAGGAGCAGCTGAGCTACCACTGAACACCCTGTGTTTCCAGACCCTGGGTGGAATCTCAGCTCCACCCCTCACTTGCTGCGTTGGCTCAGGTAGGTCCCCGCCACTCGGTCCTCATCAGCAGAGTGGGCTGCTTAAACCAACCCTGGCAGAGGGGCGGCTCAGACCTATCCACAACGGAGCTGCAGGAATGACGGCTCTGAGCACAACCCGCGGGCGCCAGGTTCCCCACCCAGCCCACTAGCCCCGCTTCTCCTCACTGGGCTAGGCAGTAACTGAGCAGGGGCCAGGCATGGGGCGCAGGGCCCAGGGAGGCAGACCAGCCCCGCTCACATCTCCAGCAGGATCTTGTCAATGTCTGGCCGCAGACATAGCTTGTTGAGGAACCGCTCAAAGATTTCCAAGGAAAACTCATCTGGCCGGATGGACTCACTCTGGGGACCAGAAGGTGTGGTGAGAACCTGCCGAAGCCAGCCGCAGATGCGCGGGTGCCCACCACAGCAACGCACCCTGCCCTGACCCCACACACCCGGTTGAAGTTGAGGCCACAGGACTCCAGTGCAGTCTCCACGCGCTTCTTGTCCGCAGAGAACATCTTAAGGATGCTGGTGCAGGTGGGAGGGGTTGGGGTCAGCTAGAGGGCAAAGGTCACCAAGGCTGGGCAGGAGACAAGGTAAAGGGGAAGGGGGTACTCACTTCTTGACTGGAATCCGTCCATCCTGGTTCACCTGCAGCTTCAGCTTCGTGTATCTGGAGAGGCAGGTGAGGGGGTCATATGCCGGGAATGGCCTCCAGAACCCCCCATGACCCCCCAGAGCCACCCGGGCTCACGCTTTGTGCAGGAAGGTGTTCCGGGAAGCATTCTGGGCCAGGATGTTCATAGCCAGCTTGAATAGCTCCTCGGACCAGACCTGGGGAGTCAGCATCAGGGGAGGGGGTGAGTGGGAACAGAGGCCCAGCCACGGTCCATGCCAAAGACTGGCTCTGGGGCAGGTTAGTCAAAGAACAGCCTAGCACACAGCAGGTGCTCAGTGAGTGAGACCAACTCAGCGATTGCCCCAGCTGTCCCCTCGACCCCAGCCCACCTTGGCTGTGTCATCCTGCACGGCCATGAAGTTCAAGAACGTTGTGTTCACCGGGTCTGGCCCAGCTACTACCGTCATCAGCTTCTCTTCCAGTCGGGCATTGGGGCCCCCAAAGCCCAGAACTTCTCGGATCTTGGGGTCCTGAGTAGGCAAAAGCCAAGAGCGAGGCAGGGTGTCCCAGGACCTACCCCGTGGCTTTGTTCTGATCCTTAGTCCAGGGCCCCACCACTCACCTTGGGCAGGCGGGCATAACGGCCCGTCCTCGTGTCCCTGATGGAACTGATGTCCAGTGTGTCCACCTCCTGGGGAAGCCAGATGCGTAGGTGGGTCTGAGGCTGCAGGGTGAGAGCCGGGAGTCCCCAGGCTCCCCACCCAAGCCAGGGAGTGGCCACCTCCTGGCTGTGGCCCTAGCCTCAGCCCCCACCCTCAGCACTTCCTGTCTGTGGGGCCGTGGGAGAGGCCAGCAGGCAGCTGGGCCCCACCCCCTGGGTGGGTACGGGGGTGTGCAGAGTACTGGGCAGGGTCTCTAGGTCTGAGCAAACTGTGCCAGCACCCGCCCTCACCATGTTGGGTCCCGTCCAGTACAAGAAGAAGCCATTTGGGTCCACGCGCAGAGTCACCAGGTTCCGACTGGAGGCCTCCTGGGGACAGTACACGGCAGCAGGGGTCAGGGAGAACGGCTTCCAGCCCTGGCTTGGTCCTTAGGCCCATCCAGCCGTCCACCCCACTCTTACTGCCAATAAGCTACAATGAAGCTCGTCTAGCCATGGGCCTTTGTGGCTGCCCCAGCCTCAGAACAGAGCCAAGGTCCTGAATGTGACATTCGGTGTCCTGAGTTCTAGGCCTGACACCACCCCTAGCCACAGCTTCCCCTCGCCCAGGATTCTGATATGTGGGCCACTAACTACCTTTTCCTCCTTCCCAGGCTCTGTGCCACTGTGCCCTCTGTTAGGATTGCCCTCCTTCTCCACCCACGGGATCTGGCCCACCTGCCGGGCAGGCCTCTCCTGACCCTCACCCTGGGCTTGGTTTCCCCAGAGGCCTGGCAGCACTGTGATGGTTGGAATCCCCCACCTCCTGCCCTCTTAGACCAGCCACTACGGGATATTCATAGGAGGTAAGCGGAGGGTTCGGAAGCCCGATCCCCCAAGTTCTTCCATGGCCCCTCTATGCCCCTGGGGGCCACACAGTGACCCACCACTCCTTTTAAGTCTGCCTCAAAGCCCAATATCCGCCACTCCTAGGATATTTACAGTCTCAGGGTATATCCCATCTTTTTAATTTTATTTATTTATTTTTTTTTGAGAGGTTTTTGCTATAGGGCGCATATGCTCGCCAGAAAGACCGAGAGAGACAGAGAGACAGAAAGCGAGAAATCACCCCCCAGGGGAGATGGCCACACCCAGCGTGAGTTTTAAGCCACCAGGTCCAGGACTCAAACCGCGGTCAACTACATGGGAGTCCAGCGACATAGCCATTGCACTAACTGCTGGTCCCATCTTTTTAAAGAATTATTAATTTATTTATTACTATGATTATTTTAAAAATTCGATCAGAGAGACAGAGGGAAAG